ACTATAAATATATCTTGGGAGGTAAGTTTTTTAGCTATAGCGATGGATGCATGGAGAATCGATGAAATAAATTCACAATGCGTCGCCTCGTTAGCATCGGTCATGGTTTCCACGTTCGAAAGCTTTAAGATAATGTCCTCCATACAATGTTCGAATGCCTTATCATCACCACTAATCTCCTCGAAGACTGAAGGTAGAGAAAAATAAGTTAATATATGTAATACTCCAATCTGGAAAATTAAGAGAGTAATCACATACCAGGAGTAAACTGCTTGATGTTTGTTATATCCTCCCCATTGACCTTATTTCTACGTAACATTTCCTTCAGGTCGTCGAGAGTTTTAAGCGAGGAATAGTTTCTTATTTTTTGGCCAAGACTTTCAATGAATTCTGCGAGAACTGTTGCTGGACCTAACGCGAAGCCAATACTGTGAAAGTCTTCTTTAGTTAACTTGAGAAAGGCTAGACCAGATATTTTCTCTTTACAAAGAATTTTAATATCATCCTCATCGAGTTTCAAGTCTTTCCTTCCCAAATAATCGATAAGCTCCTCTGTATTAAAATCTTTAACCACGTCTGACATTGTTCTAGTGGAAATTTCTTCCGTTATTGAGCTTGGAGAGGAAGGTGTAGAGGGTTGTGAAGACATAGTTTTTATATATGTGAGTTTATGCTTGCGAAAAAATATGTACTTGACTGCAGTTACAGGTAAAGCTAGTTTATAGATAAAAAAGTATTTTAGTTTCAGCATTCGGAGAGAAATGATAGATTTTTTGTATCAATTCATAATGCATTTGCCCAATATATATGCAATTAAGATGTAGTACAGGATTGTCAGGCAATTATATTACATTATTACACGTGACATTTTCAAGATTTACGACAAAAACATAATGTATGCTTTATTTAAGAAATAAAAAAAAACATTTCTGGAGAAACTGATACATAAAAAATAAATTCTTGAAAAGGTTATATAATACGGATATAATAATTTCTTATAGACCCAATAAGTTAGGATTATATTCTTCTCTATATAATCTTTTAATCTCACTTAATATGTTATTAATAATTGTATTATTCTCTTTTAATGTTTTTCGATAGTTATCACAAAATTTATTGAATTCAGAGGCAGTTACAACTTCAACAGACGTAGATTGCTCTTCTGCTTTAAAAAAATAAGGAATAAATTATAGTATAACAGAAGCTTGGATTTACTCAAAAGATATATTATCGCAGTAACTCACCTTGTTTTTCTTTTAGTTTTTCTACTAACTCCATAATATCGGTTGCGTTCCCAAACTTAATTTTGAATGGACCATTTTCATTAGTAAGCATTTGTATGGTTAATCTGAGAAAAGCTTTTCCACCGGTATTCTGTTTTTCGATTTTTTCAATGTCATCTTCATTATAACTTGAATTATTCATATGTCTCTTGAGATATTTTTTAATGTGAGCTGGAGTCCATTCTTTAACATTGGCAGGAAGTTTATCAGACATCATTAAAAGACCCATTTTTTAAACAATATATATTATACTTATATATAAAATTATAAAGCCAGAATAAATGTAGCATCGATCATGAAAAACATAATATAAATTCGATACAAAAACAAAATTTAACCTTTTGAGATTAGCAATTGCTTATTTGGTACAAGGAAAAAATAAAAGCCATAAATTGTTCACGCCGATCTGGGAATTTTTTTACTGCATATATTTTCCAATGCATAGTTATACCGAATGATTTTATATCACACGAGCATTGTGTGGTCATGTGGCATTTTCAAGATTTACGACAAGAACAGATTCTGAAAGGACCACGTAAATAATATTTTATTTATGAAATAAAAAAACGTTGCCGGTAGCTGGCCTACAATATATAAAACTATTACATAGCATTATATATAAGATTATTCTGACCGGGGGTATACAGTGATATGGAAGTGCTCTGCTTTAGTCTTCTTATCAAAACTAAAAATTTCAGAAAACTGATCGTACAGCTCCATTTCCCTTTCAATAACACTTCCAGCTTGAATTATACAAAATTTGAGAGGGATTTTATTAAATGATGCCCCCAATCTGCTTTGAATTTCAGCCTCGAGTTTGCTAGAACCTTCATATTTGCGAACCATAATTGATTGTATTACTTTAATACCTGGAATATTCATAAGTTTTCCTATAGGAACAATAAGACAATTGAGAATGATAGTGTTGTAGCTCATTTTGATCCCTAAATACAAGACCCATGGTGAGAAAAACTCATTCCCATACATACATAACTTCTAGCATATACATACCTTATTTTACGTTAGCTACGCTAGTGAAACTATTTTCTCTGGGAATGTTTTTTTGTGAAAAGTTGGCTGAACTTCCACATACCATTACATGCTTTATATCTTTCTGGGAAAAAATTAAGGAGGTATGAGGCGTAATTAGTATTGTCGTCTAATGTCAAGAGCTTCATGAAAGCACATGCAAATAAAACTTTCATACCTTTTCACATGAAGATCTACCGGAGAGACACATAGTTGATCTTACGCTTGACGATCTCGAAATTGTGACTCCCTCAGCCTTTCATAACATATACTTTTGTCGTCAATATTTACTTTTAGAGCTGATCCTGTATTGCAACTAGACCCCCTTTCACATTTTCTCACATTCGTTTGGGAAAAAAAATAAAGAATAAAGGTTAATATGTTTTTCGAATATATATGCAAAAATTATTATATCACACAAGACCTGACTGATGATCAGCCTATTTTTGTCGCACAATCTGTGACTCAGCAAATTCTTCTGAGCTGGAGATCACTGCTCCGGGATGATGATCAGTATTCCGGACTCAGCCATTAAGGCGCTTCGCTAAATTTTCTGCATTAAATATATTACTTTATTATAGCAATCATGGCAAATAATGATCCCGAAACAGTTGCTCAATTATATGGAGTGTTTTTATATAAGAAGAAGGATATAATAGCTATTTAGGAAAAACTCAGTATTGGTGGAAATGCAAATCAGTTGGTAGTACCTCCAGTTTCTGAGCTCATGGGAAAACACTTGCCGATTCTTACAAGCTGTTGTTAGAATTGGTAGTGGATTTAATTCCGATACAAGAGAAACTCGACATTGATGGTAATCCTGTTCTAGAAGTGGAAATTAGAAGGGATAAAACCTCTTCGGATAAACCAATTAGATTATTTGATTTGCTTTTATACCTGGAAGAGAACATAATAGCAATTCAGAATGAACTCGGTATTATTGATTATTCTAATCAAGAAAGGGCAGAAGAAATTGATGAGAATGTAAGAGCATAACTCCAAAAGCTTGAGGAATTTCACGGTCTCTTAAAAGATGATCCAGGTGTGATATTACCGAAATATGGTGAAATAGGGGTAAAGAAAATTCGGTTTACTGGAGAGGGACTTCCTCTATTTCCAAATCTTACTTCTCAACAATTGCATAAAATTTTTGTAAAAAATTTGGCTGATACAGACCAATGCCCATGTCTAGTATGAGTTAGTTAATCTATATTTTTTGTCGCATAAGAGTGGCCCAGCAAATTCATCCGAACTAAAGATCACTGCTCCAGACTATTGATCTAGCCAACCCTAGATCAGAATACCACTGCAAATTATCTTGAGTCGATGTTTGTCTGCCTATAGCTATAATGGGGTGATCGGCACCAGAGTCAACTATCATATATATATTGGAATTAGGTTGTCGTAATGCCTGGTGAAGCTGACTTCTAATATTAACAACTCTAGGCTGTCTTGATATTAGATCTACCACTCGCTCTATCTCAACTCGAATCGGATCCCAGAGGAAATTCTCGACATGGATATTTGGATTTAGCTGATCTATGGCTTCTTTGCTAATATTATAACACCCTTCCAAATCGAGATACTTTAAATTAAGACACGAACCAGCAATTTCTTTGATAGTTATATCGGTAATTTTAC